ATAAGATCTCGCTATGTGGCTCAGGCTGCTTTGGATTCCTAAGTGCAAGCAATTGTTCTCCTGTCTGGCTCCTCCCAAGTTGCTGGGACCAAGGGCTTGCATAATCCCATCCAGCCTGTCGGTGCTCTCCTCCAAGTGAGGTGTCAAAGGGAGTAGAGATTGGGTGGTGATGAGGAGGATGCAGAAGGGCTCTGCCTGCTGCACCCCAAGCTATGCCAGCAGGAAGGGAGCTGAAGGGTCATGGGGCGGGGGCGGGAGGGGGGGTTTTCTTTTGGTAGAACATCCCTGGGCTCCAAGGCTGGGTGGGCCATAACGGAGATGTCACAACAGGCAGGGAGAGGCTAGGAAGGAGGGTTTCCTAGGAGCTAAGGGCAATTGAACTGGGGGAAATATGACCCAAAGATGGAAAGAGAGGAGTGGGATATCAGGGAAGGGCTTGGGGGACTTGGACCAGGATAAAGGAGTGACTTTCATCTCCTCTCTCCCTGGAAGTAGAGGAGGTAAGTTCGGAAAGGCGCCAAGAATAGAAGAGATGAGAACAGAACCACCTCCAGTGGAGGAATGAACTGTCCCTAAGATATAGAAACAGGGTTTTTTTTTAGCATTTAATTGTAATTTTCTTTCGGTATTGTTATTCCCTCTCATTATCCCTGAAAAAGGGAGGTCTCCACCCCTTCCTGGTCTTAGTCACACTGCAGAGGCTTCAGGAGCTAGCCTGTGTTCATATTTGACTGGCAGCCCATCCCCGGGCCTCCCCACCCTTGAGTCTCTCCTACAGACAAGCCTGGCCCCAAGAGTACCCACTTCAGAGAAAACAGGGGTCCTAGAGCATCAGGGGATGTTGAACAACAAATAACAAATATCTCTTATGGACAGCATCTCTGCAGGCAGGAAAGAGACCTTGACCCATCTCCCTAAACCCTCACCACTGTCAGACTAGGAGAGAGCATATGGCCTTGAAAGAGGATATATGGCTGGGTACCACCCAGGATGCATCATGTAGACCACAGGACATGATGAGGACAAACTTTACAGCTCCTGTATCTGGACCCAATTCTATGTCTGCAGATGAGACAGAATCTACTGACCTTCACCCTTCTACTGAGCCACCGTCTTATTAGTATCAGCAGGGAGGGGCCCCTGGGGTAGGCTGGGGTTTCTCTGCAGCTTTAGCTGATTTTCCAGTGAGGTTGTTGCAAGAGCTTATCAGTTCAGTCAACTCCTGCTTGTTCCTGCTCTTGACAGGTGTGGTCTTCCATCCAGAACAGGGATGGAGATGCCTATCTCAGGTACAGAACCAGGTGTGATCCTCCATCCAGAGCAGGGATGGAAATGCCCATCTCAGGCACAGAACAGAACTTTCACCTTCTTTCATATGACTAAGAGAAATTTCTACTAAAGTTGTGGTTCTCAATTAGTGTCTTTTTGTCCTTCCAGGGAGCATGTGGCACTGCCTGGAGATACCTTGGTTGTCACAGTTACAAGGGAAAGGCCTGGCATCGTGTTAAACATCCCACAATGCATAGGACAGACCACCCCCCCACCCAAGGCAAAGAATTACCTGGCTCAAAATATATACAATGTTAAGTTTAATCTTGCACAGGACTTACTCTCAAAGCCTGAAGACATGATTACCAAATGGAGACAACCCATTATTTAACAAATATTTTCCTACTGGCTCCAACTATGGGTGAAATATTGCCCTGGAAACTAGGGAGGTAGTCATGAGTAAATCAGCTTGGAAGTTCAATTTTGAGAAGTCAACTTACCTTCAGAAGAATGGCTTTGGGAGCAAAGTAGAAAATTTGTGATAATTTTACTCTACAATTCCAGTGCAGGGTTTCTCAAAAATATTATTATACCATTGAGGCACCCATCCAAATATTAACACTGGGTATCACCAAAAGATAGCCAGTGAGGTTCATGCTAAATGCACCTAGCACATTCTTTTTCTTTTTTCTTTTTTCTTTCCTTTCCTTTCCTTTTCATGTATGTGAGTGCTCTGTCTGCATGCATCCAGAAGAGGGCATCAATCTCACTATAGATGGTTGTGAGGTATCATGTAGCTGCTGGTGATTGAACTCGGGGCTTTTGGAAGAGCAGCCAGTGCACTTAACAGCTGAGTCATGAGTCATTTCTCCAGCCCCACCCCCCACTCCCCCACCCCTTCTGCAGCACATACTTTTACAATTTAATTTGTATTATGTCTGTTTGTTTATTGTGTGTATGTGTTGGGGTCCACCAGCATTGCAGTGCACATGTAGAGGTCAGAGGACAACTTGCAGGAGTCAGTTCTCTCCTACCATCATGCATGAACCAGGGATGGAACTCAGCTCACCAGGCTTAGCAGCGAGCACCTTTGTGGGCTAAACCATCTTGGTGCTTCCCACACATGTCTCCCCAAACACTCTTTTTCAAAGTTTCCTGTATTCATGACAGTATGTCTATTAACTTGACTACTTGAAGATGCCATAATCTCTTGGGCCATCTGAATAGAAGCTGCAAGAACTCCAGCTACAAGGAAGTTACCCCTGCTGTAGAAGTACTGAAACAGGTGACAAGCCTGGGTTTCCACGAAATGGAATGTGAGCCCTCCATTCTAGAACACGGATCAAAATCTTGTTCCCGTAGGTGATGGGGAATGTACTTCTCTATATGTTCATCTTATTGATTGTTGAATAAAGTACTGTTTGGCCAATGAGGCAGCAAGTTAGACGGGACTAGGAGTCAAAGAGGATTCTGGGAAATGTAGTAGAGAAGTGGTGATCCAGGCAGGAAGTGACATAGCAAGGGGACTCATATTTAAGCAAGGACAAGCAGGAAGTGGACCCCCTTTTTTTTCCCCTCCTCTCTTCCTCCAGATTCACGATGTGATCCTCCGGCAAGGGAGGACACCAATGGAAGGCGTCTGATAAGATAAGTCTTATAAAATATATAGATTTATGATAATTAAGACTGAGCTTGCAGATGAGAAATCCTAGTCATTGGCCAAGCAGCATTTGTACCTAATAGAAGTCTCTGTATTATTTTGCCCATCCATGTGGCAGGAAGGACTCAGGCGGCTGGTGGAGACTGCCCATGTGGTGGTAGGGTTAGGGTGGCTTTTGGCAGAAAGACTTATCGTAACACCTAGGTGCTGACAGGAGGGGGGCACAGGAACAAGGCAGTAAGAAGCCTTGCCCAGTCACCTGCATGGATTGGTATGAGAGAAAGAACAGAGAAAATGCAGCTACCATTCAGACTAACTTCCCACCAAAATATTCTAAGAAGGGCTGACACTCTCCTCTAGTTTTCTTCTGATAAAATGCCACAGGCCCTCAGGAAAATGCTATCTCTATGGAGAACTCTCTTTAGTCACCAATTACAGCCTCAGCCATTGTCCTCTCAGTATCAGTAAGACAATAGTTTATTGTGGTACAGTAGTTGATGGCAGGTACAAACACAATTCTCAGATACAAAGCCACTGCTTATGCTTCAGCAGCCAAAAGCCAAGCCTTGAAGTCTATGGAGTTATTTGCGCATGTGCAGCCCAGCACTTGCCCTAGCTCTTGATAAGCAACTTGAAAACACAAAGTCACATCCATAAAAGTAGCCCTCCTGGTCTTCTTTGAGTCAGCCTGACACCACAGATTCCAAGCTGTGTGGCTGTTGTCCCTCCTGCTGGCTCCCTCTGATGCCCCCTCCTGAGAGCACAATGATGACCCACAAACCCCCACGGGATTTGAGGACTGGCAGGGGTGATGCCTACTGGCCTATTTCTGTGGCTGTCAGGACTGCCCGCCCCTCCTGCCCTTGGCATCTGTTTCAGCCCTTCCTCCCCACTAGATCCAGAGATGCTGGAAGGTGTTGGTGGTGCTTGCTTTCCTCTGGCTGCCATTGTTCTCCTGCCAGAACCTATCAGGTTGGTGCCAAAGAACCTCTCAAGCAGGCAGCCAGTATTGTTCTGAGCACAGGAGTAAGTACTTCTTTGGTGGCTCTGCTGTGCTGGTGAGTACAAGGCAGAACCAGACAGGAATGACCCATCTGGATTAGTAAGAAGATGGGCTTGGGAGAGAGTACAGTTGGTAAAATGCTTGCCACACAAGTTTAAGACCCTTGTTGGATCCCCAGCAGCCATGTAAAAAGTTGGGTATGGCAACAGGCACTTGTAGTCTCAGTGGTGGGTAGGCAAAGGCAGAAGAATCCCTGGGGCTTGCTGGCCAGGTAGCCTAACCAAATCATTGATCCCCCAGATCACAGTGAGACCCTGTCTGATAGAGAAAGGTGAGGAACTGGGAGAATGGCTCAGAGGACCTATGTTTGGTTCCCAGCCCCCACATGATGGCTCACAACTGTCTGTAACTCCAGTGCCCTGAGATCTGATGTCATCACCTTCTGGCCTCCACAACAGTGTACATACATGGTAAACATAAAATGCATGTAGGCAGAGCCCTCTCACATGTGCAAATCTTAAAAATTAAGTAGAGTTATAAAACAAAACACAAGGTGGGTGGTTTCAGAAAAATGACTCCAATGATTAACTTCTGGCCTTTCTATACACATGCATGTACACACACACACACACACACACACACACACACACATCCCACATGCACACATACACCAAATATATAAATAAACAAATACTTTTTAAATGACTTAGTGAGGGGTTCCAACTATAAGTCAGGGATCCTTAATTTCCATGGCAATGTTTCCAGAGATCCATCGCAGTCAGATTTTCCACCAAGAAACCGACCTTATCTATTTGCTTTAATACAGTGGAGAGGCGTCATACATACAGTGGAGAGATGCCATACATACACCTCTGCAGCCGACTTTACTATAAGGAATTACTTTATAGGCAAATCCACACTGCTGCCTTCAGAGCTTGTGCTTAAGTAGAATTCCTGGCTAACAAAGGAACCAATGAGCAGTGAGTTTGCCAAGATCTCCAGCCGCCCATGTGTCCACATCAGCTCCAGTTCTAACCCCGACAGCTAAAGGTCATTCAGATCTCCTACCTTAATAAGGCGGTGCTAGTGGCATTGGCTGGAACTCTGCCAGGCCAGTAAGCCAGTGCTGGGACCCGATGCCCACCTTCCCAGGTGGTCTGCTTGGCTGAACTTCCGCCTATGAGAAGAAGCAATTGTTTCATGAGTATCAGTCAAATGGGAGGCCCCTTTTTCAGATAAGAGCTGGCCTGTGGGAGAACAGTCCCTCTCTAAGAGTGTCCAATAATTCCAACAGAGAAATGGCTTTCTTTTAAAAAAAAAAAATTTACTGCCCAGATATTTGTCCCCCAACTAGTTAATGACTTCCAGCACAAGCTTTGATTTTACTGGACTTAACATAAACAAACAGAGCCCTCTGCTAATTGTGTCAGTTCGTCTCATGACACCCCCACTTTAAACTGTTCTATTTTATTCCTTGCTTCTCATGTGTCCCTGCACTATGAGATTCAAGACATCCTGGGTGCTTAAAGAGTCTTTGTTGAATAAATGAATTCGTCCTCCAGTTGACCGTGTGATGAAAGAAAGAGAGAACAGGCCCCTCCAAGTTGTTCACACCTACCGAGTGTGAATGAAGCCCTTGGTTCGATCCCTAGTACTGAAAAACAGTTAAATAAAAGCTACAATTTTTTGGAAGAGACCCAATGCCTGTTTGATCTCATGCAGATTTATTGTTTTGCTTTGTTTTCTCTTGAAAAAAAAAAAAAAAAAAGAACCGTTCTGATGAGACAGTATCAGCCATCTTTCTGAGTGCTTGTCTCTTGCTGGAGGTAAGAATATCCCGCGTGCAATCTGTGAACTTTCACATTAGTAATGGTAGGCATTATTTTTGTAGCCAAGTCAAAAGTGACCACCAATATAATGACAGCCTGTGGGCTGGAAGCGATGAGGTCATGTTTTCAGAAAACATCCTGAATACACATGTTGCGTTGAATTAACCATGACGGGCTCCACCACTCCTACACACACATACCCCACCCTCATCCCCAGTTGAGCCAGAGGCCAGGGATTCCGCAAGGTTCGCGTGTAAGAAGTTCTTCCAAGGCAAGCGCTCTATGTGGCTCACACACACTGTGGTCATGCAACTTCCCCAAGTTTGGCTAGTGTAAATTATAAAAGCAATCAAGGGTGGGGAGGCGAGGCTACCAAGACGAAGGCTTCCTCCCTCTGTGCTCTCATCGCCACAAACAGAACCTTTGATGTCCCTGGCTCAGTACACCAGACCGGAAGTGCTCCACATTCCTGGGACAGTCACACAAGGAGCTCTGGAGTCCCCCAAGTGTTGACAGAAGAAGCAGAACACAAAACAGCCCCTACCCTATGGGCTGTTTACATTCAAGAGTGTTGGGCTGAAGAAATAAACTAAATTCAGTCACTACAGACTGAAAAGTTCTTCAATCTGGTCTGCCACCGATCTTCTCTCCCCAAAACACACACAGAACAAGACCACTCCAATTATTCACGCACACAGAATAGGAAATCCAGAACTGTGACAGAGCACAAACAGAGTTTCCACGAGGGTTCAGGATTCATGGCAGTACTTCAGCTTAGGGCCAAACAGTAATGAGTCTGAGCACAGACATGTGCTGGGGAACCTGGGGGTCTTTCCAACCCTGGGAGGAGCATTTGCCTGGACACTCTTGGGATGAGTGGGTGGAAAGATGGAGCCCTTTTATTTACAAGCTGTGATGCATGACATTCAAAGGGCCCTGCTTAACCTTTGAGGCCAGATGCTAAAGCAAGGCCAAGGCTTTGGATCCAAGTAAATCATTATCTCCGACCAGAAGGCAGGAGCTGTTGCTCAGCTCTGTGAAAGCAAAGGGACACCTGTTTTCTGTGATACTGTGGGCAGCTGTTTTGCAGGTGGCTGACCTTCCCAAGGGGTTTCTCAATGGAAATAGTTTCATTGTGTTTGTCATCTTTCAGCAAAGGGTCAGAAGCATGTCTGTCAACACAGTGGACAACCCACATGGAAAGTTCAGCAACCAAGAAAGCAGATTGGCCCATGGAGGCCCTTCAACATGACCATGTGGGAGGGGCTCCTCAGCTAATCTCCTGCACCTAGGTTCTAATCTTCACTGAAAGACATGATTGCTTATTCCAGCCATGTATATGATCCACCATCCTTGTATGCAAGGGAGATTTAGCTTGAATCCTGAGTTTGGGCAAGCACTTACAAAACTAAATATTTATCACCCACAATATGGACATTCCTCTGCTTCAAACCCCAGTTTCTCACCAGCCCTGCTAGGAGTGGAGTACGGTCTCCTCAGCATCTTCCATTGGCCTTCCGAGGGTGCGACTGTCAGCCCTGTGTGCTTATACAACTGGTTTTTTTGTTTTGTTTTGTGCTTTATCTTACTAGCAAGGACAGAGTCCAGAATAACTGCCTCTAGGCAGCTCTTTTATCCCTTATTCCAAGTTAAAGATAATAATACAAACAGCCGGGTGGTGGTGGCAGCACACGCCTTTAATTCTAGGACATGGCAGACAGAGGCAGGCAGATCTCTGTGAGTACAAGGCCAGCCTGGTCTACAGAGCAAGTTCTAGGACAGGCTCCAAAAGCTACACAGAGAAACCCTATTTCAAAACAACAAAAACAAAATTAGTAACATTAACAATAACATTGTCTATTAATGGAGCCTTTACCAAGCACCCAAGCACTAAATTTAAGAATGTAGCTAAGTGTTTTCCTATATTATTTCATTAGATTTAGATGACAACATTTTGTACATTTATTTGTGTGTGTGTGTGTGTGTGTGTGTGTGTGTGTGTGTGTGTGTGTGTGTACCTGTGCATGCTCACACCAAGGTATGCATGTGCAGGTCAGAGGACCACTCTTGGGAGCTGGTGCTATTCTTGCAGCACGTGTGTCCCCCTGAGGATCAAACTCACGTGTTTAGGTGTGGCTGCAAACATCCTTATCCATTTATCCATTGAGCCATCTCACCAGCCCTTTTGTACTATACACTATGATCTCCTTTTTTTTCTAATGGAAAAAAAAATCAAAAAGAGGTTAAGTAATCTTTTCAGTACTGAGGTCTGAATTTGGGGCCTTTCCTATGCTAGGAAGTGCTCTACCACTGAGTTTGAGTTATATCAGTAGCCCCACTGTAACGAAAAACCTTTACTCCAAAGCCACCCTAGCCCTGTTGCCACATGGGCCTTTCTGCCAGGCCGCCCGAGTTCCGCCTGCCGCCACGTTAAGGTCCCAAGTAAAAGACAGAGACTTATATTAGGTACAATGCTGCTGGCCAATCCCTAGGATTTCTTACTTACTAGCTCAGTCTTAATTATCATCCATAATCGTAAGACTTATCTTATAGAGGATGCTTTCTGCTGACGTCCTCTTCCTGGGTCACAGGGCTGGGGTGTCTGTGGCAGAAAGACTTATTGTTACACCCTACCCCTTTTTTTTTAACTTTTAGTTTTGAAACCAGGTCTTACAAAGTTGCCTGGACTAGCCTTGAATTCACTACGAAGCCCAGGCTACTCTCAACTTGTCCGATCTGGTGCCTGGGATAACAGGAGTTATTGGTGGCTGAGTTTCAGTGGTTAGTAAATGCAGACCCAGTTTCACAGCCAGGACCTGCACCCATCAAACCTTCCAGATAGCGTCCACATCCTAAATTCATGTCAGAATCACAGGTGGGCTCCTTTAAAAGTACTGTGGTGAGGCCCTTCCCCTAGAGGCTATGATTAGCAGGCCTGCTGGCAGGAGGGGTGGCACATCAATGTCTTATAAAGCTATCCGGATGGGCTGGAGAGATGGCTCAGAGGTTAAGAGCACTGGCTGCTCTTCCTGAGTTCAATTCCCAGAAACCACATGGTGGCTCACAACCATCTGTAATATGACCTGGTGCCCTCTTCTGGCCTGGGCAGAACACTGTATACATAGTAAATAAATAAAAAATATATATATTAAAACAAGACAAAACAAAAAGCTGTCCCAGTAACGCAACTTGGACAGGACTCATTCCCAGGCTTGATGGCGAATCAGACACAATGCACTTCAAAGCCAGATGCAGCTTAGATGGCTTTTTTTCTTTTTCTTTTTTTTTTTTTTTTTTTTGTATGTGAGTGTTCTGGCATCTGGGTGGCTATACAGGAGTATGGGCTTGAGGCCAGAGATCAACTTTTGGTTTTGGTTTGAGTTTTTGAGGCCCAAGGAAGCTAAGCAGCCTTCTCTTATTTAGGGGATATAATTTACAAATATGGGAGAGAATCTACCAGGTACAAAGGCCTGTGCCTGTAAGCCCAGCATTTGGGAATCTTAGACATAGGGATCGATTCTAGTTCAAGGCCAGCCTGGGATATATAATAACTTCTAGGCCAGACTGGGCCTCAGATTGGAACACTTTCTCATTTAAAAAAAGAAAGAAAGAAAATTAATTAATTAATTAATTAATCCTCAATAGACTTGAACTGTGACCCGTCTCTCCCCTTTTCACATCTGACTAACCAGGAAAACTTGGACTGTTTTCAGATCACGCTGGGGAACTGGGAATTGTCAGGAAGCTAAGACTTCTGGGCCCTGTGGCAGAAGCACGGCAGGCCAAACTACGGGGTTTCTGTTGGCCTAAGATTATGAGGAGGTCAGGAAGAGAGGAAGCCCTGGCTGGAACTTTACTCTCCTTGCCTAATTTAATCGTTGGGGAGTCAGATAGGACGGTCACTGTCCAGGCTTTTCCTCTGTCTCCTGAACCTTTCTTTCACTCTTTGAGACTCTTTTGCTTCCCTATGGTGGTTTTCAGGACAGAGCCACACTGGCACTGCCAGTGGGGCAAAGGGCAAGATCTGACTCTTGCTCCATATTTCGCATGGGCCCCCAGCACCTGCTCATCATACCCAGTGGCCTTGGTGTTTGCAGTGACTCATACCCAACACTTTGCTTCTTGAAGAGCTGCCTGCCTTTCTTCCTTCCTTCCTTCCTTCCTTCCTTCCTTCCTTCCTTCCTTCCTTCCTTCCTCCCTCCCCTTTCCTTTTTTTTTTTTTTTTTGAGACAGGGTTTCTCTGTAGCTTTGGAGACTGTCGTGGAACTCGCTCTGTAAACCAGGCTGGCCTTGAACTCACAGAGCTCCACCTGCCTCAGTCTCCCGAGTGCTGGCATTAAAGCATTGC